ACTCACGTGTGATTAATACTGATTTTTTGTGAAAATTACTGATTTGTGATGCTCATTATACATGTAAATATGTGAAGGGGTTGACTTGTGGACTCTGAAGTCCCGGGCTGGTCGGGGCCGCGGTGCGCGCGAAGAGGTGCTGCGGCTGTGGTCACACTGCCTCTCAGCCCTCGCTTTAAAATCAGTCAGCTGATCTGTCGCGGTTTTGTTGTGCTCGTAAACACGCGGTGTTACAGGAGAAATGCTGCGAGGTGCTTTTAGAAATATAATATATATAAAATACGACGTAATTCTCGGTGGAAAACAGCTCAGGTGAACACCTCCCGGGAAAGCCCTCAGCATTTCCTGGACTGAGTGAAGCTGACCCCCCACCCACAGAGAAAGAAAAAAGGCAGCGATGTCAGTCAGACAGCAGGACCCRCCCTGCTCTGTTCTGATTGGGTAAAACTTTGACTGTGGTTCTCTTTATTGGGTGAAAGAATCGTCAATTTAATGCCTAGATGGCTTTAACAAGTTTTTTTCCTCCCATTCATTTTTACAATGACGAACACTCGCTGCTTTTTTCTTGGTTGTCCACCGGACAACTTGGAGGTGGGATCTGGTTGTCCGAAACGAAAATAGGTTGTCTCGGACAACCTAAACAATGGTTATGTCGACCCCTGAAGTTTATGAAAGTTTGCAAAATGTACGCACATAAAAATGTTACAAACTGACCTTGACTGGAGATTGGAATAACACAAAAAAACAGCTTCTGAAGCTTGCAAAACCACCTCCCACCTCCTCTATCCAAGCCGACACAATTTATTCTGTGTCTTCCTCTGGCTTCATAAAGTACCCGCGATCACCCTCATGCCGCTTTCAAAACTTACGTAAGTTTACGAAATTTACGTAACGTTATAGACGGACTCGGAGCGGAGTTAGTGAAAACACACAACAGCTACTGATTCTGTAACATTGCTACCCACCTCTATCCAAGCTGGCACAATTAATATTTTTTATGTTATCCTCTGGCTTCATAAAATAATAGYGATCACCTGACGCTGCTTATGAAGTTAACAAAATTTACACAGTGTAAAAGAAAACAAGAACAGCTATTGGTGAACACAAGGTGTAGAAAAGGAGTAGAAAAGAGGGAGACTCAAAGAAAACAAACAAGCAGGCAAATGAAAATTATTGACCTCGTTTTAATTTGTTGTGCGATTTATTGTTCATCTCGACAGGCCTGCTGGAATGGATATTTGTCATTAACAGTTCACTTCCCCTTAGGGAGCCTGGTATGGGCCGTCCTCCTCTCAGGGCTCAGGATTTCATGGCGAACAATCCCGAACATCTGGAGCTGCTAAGGAGGATGGGAGTCAGCCTCATCCACCTGAAAGACGGCAGGGTGCAGCTGGTCCAGCACGCGACACAGGTTAATACTAGAGAACTCTCTGAAAACAGTTCAAATGGTTGAAGTCATTACATCTTTTACACTTTCAAGTATGTTGGCAGATTTTTTTTGGTCACACCCCTACACTGTTTTAGACCTTTTAAAAGGCTCTCCTCYTCTGTCCCACCTGCACCCAGGCGGTGAGCGCCGTGGCAGCAGAGGAYGGCGTGCGATTCATGCAGGAGATGATGGAGCTGTCCAGCCAGCAGCAGAAAGAGCAGCTGCCTCCCAGAGCCATCCAGATCGTCTCAYATCCCTTCTTCGGCAGGGTTGTGCTGACCGCAGGACCAGCCCAGTTTGGCACGGACTTGTCCAAAAGTGCCACAGGGGTGGGTTTTGTCACTCTGCCAAAGATATAAATGAAGAATCCAACATCAGAGAACAGACTGCATTGTTTTTTCAAATCAAATCAAATATAGTTTATTCGTTTGATTAAAAAACAAACAAAACAAAACACAATACATACAATAAAACAATGCAAATCAAATAAAATGAAAGGCAGAAGAAAAAAATCTTAAATCTGCTCCTGTTTACAAATATATATATGTGTGTGTGGTGTGTGTGTGTGTGTGTGTGTGTGTGTGTGTGTGTGTGTGTGTGTGTGTGTGTGTGTGTGTGTGTGTGTGTGTGTGTGTGTGTGTAAATTCTTTTCTTGGCTTCTGGGTCAATAGGATGAACAGACTAAAATCTGTCTTTGTCTCCTCCAGTGAATAGTATGAATGTGTGTGTGGTGTGTGTGTGTGTGTCTGTGTTACGTTTGCTGATAATGTGAACAAACGTGCCTCTTGACCGCGTCCGGAGGTGCTTCAGCACCGCCGCTTCTTCGCCGCTTCCTTTGCTTCGTTTTGCACCTTTTGTTGTATCTGCTTCTGCTCCACCTGATTCCAATCNTAATAAACCAAATAAAAGAAAAATTCAACTCAAACAGTAACTCATACAAATACAAATTAAACAATTTTTAAACAAATTTACTTTGATCGTTGTTTTGAAGGAATTAATTGATCCCATGGTTTTATAATCATTTTCCAGATTATTCCTGAAGTGCATCTGTCCTTCAAATTTGTTCGAATTTTTGGTTTAACAAACATTTATATTCCATTCAAATTATAGCAGCTTTCCCTTTTAACAAAATTAGATTGGATGTTTGAAGGTAACACATCCCTATGAGCTCTAAACATAACCCGCAGAACATGATATTCAACCAACTCATAAAATTTTAATAATTTTAATTGATGAAACAATATWTTAAAAGGGTGATAGTAATGCTTTCTTGTAATAATTCTTATGGCTCTTTTTTTGTAAAATAAAAAATAGGATTAGTAATTGTTTTACATACATTTCCCCAGACTTCTTTACAATAAATATTCATTTCTCCATGTGTTGCAGGTCCGAGGGTTTGTGACGGTGGCTGAGCCTTACAGCGGCTGCTCTGAGATCACCAACGCTGAGTACGTCCAGGGCCACATCGCTTTGCTCCAGAGGGGTCAGTGTATGTTYGCAGAGAAGGCCAGACACATCCAGAAGGCGGGCGCCATCGGAGGCATCGTCATCGGTCAGTGAGGACAGCAATCGACACGAGACGGAAGACGACTATTCAGTGACAAGATTAGTGCTCAATAACTAGATTATCTTGAAGCCATTCAGTCTAGTAGGGTCCTGCATCCCAACATGAACACCRAATAATCAAACCGAAACTTAGTTTCATTTTAAAAAGTACTTTTATATATATTTGCTTTATTACAGCAACAAATGCTGTAAAATGTCAAACGAACTGTTGAATTGCTATAATGGTGTGAAAACTCATTAAGAGTAAGAAAATGCAGTTGTCACAATTTATTTTAATACGTTGTGTTTATTTTCCTTCCGTCCAGATGATAACGAGGGCAGCAGCAGTGACACRGCCCCGCTGTTTCAGATGGCCGGAGATGGACGTAGCACAGATGACGTCACCGTTCCGCTCCTCTTCCTCTTCCACAAGGAGGGCAACATCCTGCTGGAGGCGCTGAAGGAGTACAGGGAGGTGGAGGTGCTGCTGAGCGACAAAGCCAGGGACAGAGGTGTGTGTCTCATACTCCTTCTGATCCCACCACATTGCACCCATCTGTCCACAGAGTCTCGTGTGTTTCTTAAATAAAATTTGGAGGGATAGATTTGGGCAAAACAAGACACAGCGTTGATATTACAAACGAGACACAGCGTTGATATTACATCCCTGTTTTTTTTCAATTTTTCCAAATGCGTTTTTTTCCTACAAGTGTACATTTCTTTCCTTCCTTCTTTTGGTCTCYCCTCTCTTTCTATTCACCACTTTTCTTGGGATGAGCAGCTGCCATATTCAAAGGTAAAACTCCTCCTGGAAGCCTGATTGAGGGCAGTAAGTATCCTCCGTTTTCTGCTCTTTCCTTCATGTTTRTTACTAATGTTTGCATCCTTCAATTCTTTGTATTTGTGTGAACGCTGTGAAGCATTTACACTATTGAGATGATCCATTTTCTTCTGTATGTATTTTTGGCATGTATATCAGTTTATATACGAAACATTCAGCTCCTTCAGTACATTCTAGCTATGACTTTGGTATTTCWGCAATGCTTCTTGTGATATTTAGCTTTTTTTAGCCGTTTTGTTCTCATTAGACAWGAATGGACCTGTCGTCAATATCCCTAAAATCCTTCAAAACAGTTGAACCCTTCCTGCACTTTTCACCTTTTATTTTGGTTCTGCTCTTTTTGTACATATTCTTTGTGCTAATTTTAGCTTCCTTCAGCTGTTTTCTGCAATTTAAGCTACKCTTTAGCTGTTTTAAGCTAATTTTAGCTTTTTYCAGCTGAATTCACCTATTTGTGATAGTTTTAGCTGCTTCKTTCAGCAGCTTAATTCAGCAAGCTGGTGCTCTTTTTGCTTCTTTGTGCTAGATTCCACTTTTTCAGCTACTACTATGCTAATTTCAGCTTTTTTGGTTATTTCCCAACAAATTGCGTAATTTTTGTACAATTTGTTGTTCTGCAAAAGTTTTTTTTAGCATTAAACGTTTGCATTTTCGCGGAAATTTTGAGTTGGATAACGTCCTTTTAATGCAGTTTGGTTCAAATACTGACCTTGAAGAGTTAAGTGTGTTAAAATCTAACGTTTTGTATTGTATAACATGACGTGTGAGTTGCAGAGGTGGACCATACATGCAGTTGCAGTTTGTGGTATTAATATCTAATATAACCTACAACAGCACAGTAGGACCTGTTAGAGAGATCCCTTTTCTCTGCACTTTGCTTGCTGCATGCAGATAATTGGTMATTTCTGTAACTATATAACATCATTACTGCATCACCAACAGATAACAAGGATCCTTTTGCACCTGAGCTGTGAAAGCTTTCAACCAGGGGTGTCCAATTCTGCTCCTCGAGGGATGCTATCCTGCATGTTTTMCCTGTTTGTCTGCTCCAACACACCTGATTCAGTGAYTGAATTAAGTTCTGCAGACAGCTGTTAATCACCCCTTTATTTAAATCAGGTGTAGAGCAGAGACATCTCTGAAACCTGCAGGTGCYTTTCAGGACATCAGTTCTGTGGTGGCGTAAAACGCTCAAACTCATCCTTAAACTCATCTAAAATCAGCTGCGTTTTTTTGAAACAGAAGGAATACTCATTGGGCCTCATGCAAGAACATGTTCGTATTCTTATCCTAAATTTCTCTTACTTTTGTTCGAATGAAGGGTTCGTAC